AAAATACTCAAGACATAAAAGTGGAAAGTGAAACAGACAATCTACAGGGGGGGTTAGCATGCTACAGGGAAGACACCATATGCTAACATATGACCTCCATGTGGATGTTGCCCTAGATAAATCATTGTTATGTCTGTAATTACTGTATATGCTATTTCTTTGAAGTGCAGGGAACTGCGCTCACTGCATAGTTGTGCAGTTGTCTCTAGATCAGTAAAAGGATTTCTTTGGGGGCATCTGTGAATGTCCACAGTTTTGCCCTCCACAACTGGCAAATGGCTCTGCAACTCTGGCTTTCCACAGGATATCCACATGTGAAGTAGGTTCTCCAGATGGGTTGGCCAACCACTCCCACTACCCAGACAGCGTAGGCAATGAAAGGGAGTGGAAGTCCAAAATATCCAGTCAGCTAAATGTCCATCAATTCTGCTATAAAGCAATGTAAATCGGCATCTCCAGTGCCAGAATGTGAAGGTTCTGCAGGTGAGATTTCTGCTTTACAACAAAGTCTGTTTCTACTGTTATGAATGAACCAGCACAGATACATTTGCAATGCAGGTGTCTGATCTTAGATCGATCACACCAGAGTATATAATAAGCATCCCTCAATGCACTCAAAATTCAGCATTGTTTACTCCTTGGATTTACTTTAGGCTTTGGTGCCTGCCTTGCTGCTTTAATAGCCAGTAGGACACATTATTAAAAAGGATAAGATTCTATAAAAATGTGGAAAACCAAATCCTCAGAGAAACATTTTAATCCTTGAATACAAAGCAGAATGTATTCAAATACTAAAACTTGCACTCTCCTGAATTTTGCAATACAAGTTACAAACAGGCAACCAAACTGAAATAAACTAAACAACCAGAAAATGCGTTCATTTGAAAAATTATTTTCGCAGAAAAAAGTGTACGTCTGTAACAGTGCACACAAAAAATGTGCACATCTGGACAGATTCATATGAAATTCAGATTCATCATATAATGGGGGAAAGTCTGTTTACAACAGTACTGTATGTACATTTTTAAAGGAGCACATAGAAATATGCACAAACATGTATCTGTTTTTTTTTGGGGGGGGGGAAATGCATACAATTGTTTATGCAGACAAATTTAAAGAATTGCCATCTGATGAAGAACCAGGATGGAGACTGAATCTAGCAGCAGAAGAATCAGAATCTGAATAAAATCAAGCTTGACAGAGTCACCCATCCCTGTTCTCAGCTGCGATGTCATTCTTCTGGGCAACAAGACAGCAAAAGTAGGAGGCTCAGTGAAGCGTAGTGGACAAAGTGCTGAACTGGGACTGAAATTACAACCGAGAAGATCTGCATTCAGCCTAAAGATACAACTAGCTGACTTTGTGCCAAATAAACTGGTTACAGCTGCACTACAGACCTATCGTGTATACAAGATTAAAGGTCAAGGGCTTCCCCAAAAGAATCCTGGGAACTGTAGTGAGAGACAGAGTGAGAGACAGAGGGGTGGAAGTCCAAAAGCATCTGGAGTACCAGGTGGTCTCCATGCCCACTGGGTATGCGTGCATAAAGCATCCTTGGAAAAGCCCAAGATACAAGTGTAATAACATAAGTCCATTCTCTAACAACCTTAGAAGGAGGACAAGACATAAGAAAAGGAATCAGTGTACTCATGCCTATTGAACATTACAAGCACTTTTGGAACAACAGGTATGTAAGCCTCACCACCCTCGCCCCAGGTGAGAACAGTGGGCAAACCTCCATGCCCCTGTCCATTAGTTCCACACCATCTAGCTTGAGTCAAACAGGATTTATTGCAACAGGGGGTGGGACAGTAACATCAGTGGGAGTTTATGCCACTCCGGTAACCTGTCCCAGGGTGAAGTTGAAGTCACTTGTGCCTGCACTGTCTGGCTAGTTCCAGGCCCTGTTAAGTTGATGGTGGTGGTGGTGGTGGTGGGGAGGGCATGAGTCTTTAATGTCCTTTAACGGCAGCCTCCACAGTTGTACAGAAGGCGCTGGGAACGAGGGACAGACTGAAGCCCACAGTGAAAGCAAGCTGCAGATCCGATGATATCAGCAGCAGTGGCAGCTGTTGCTGAAGGCTCTGCTGATGTTCCTTCGGCCTCTTTTGTCTCTGGTGTTGCTGCTCCATCAGTGTGGGGGGCCCTTGGCCCAGCTTAGGCTGATGAAGGTGGTTTTTCCAGTGAGGCCAGTGGGAGGGGGGGAACCCTCAAGCCAGTAGCCTCCAGGGCACATCCTTGCCCTTGGGGCACACAGGGTTCTACAAGGACCCCTATTCCTGTGATAAACGTAGTCCCAGGCTCCCTCTAGCTCCAGGACTGTTTCCACACTGTAAACCTCATTCTAATTCCTCCTCAGCATCTCCGTAGGCTCCTTTCTCCTCTAGATCTGATGACTCAATGCACACCCCTCATCTTCCTTCTGAACAACCCCAGCCTCCTCCAAGGCCCTTTTAGATGAGGGGAGGCTCCCCATCCTCATGTCTCCCCTGGTGTTTCTTCTTGACACCGTTCCCCTCCTTCACCCATGTCAGGTGCTCCCATCCCTCACCCATCTCAGATCCAGCAGCTGCTGTTTCCCAGGGTCTTGCCCAGCTTGCCAGGGGTGCTCTCAGTGACCCTCCCATGAGGTCTGGTGTTGCTGCTCCATCAGTGTGGGGGCCCCTTGGCCCAGCTTAGGCTGGTGAAGGTGGTTTCTCCAGTGAGGCCAGTGGGGGGGGGGAACCCTCAAGCCAGTAGCCTCCAGGGCACATCCTTGCCCTTGGGGCACACAGGGTTCTACAAGGACCCCCATTCCTGTGATAAACATAGTCCCAGGCTCCCTCTAGCTCCAGGACCATTTCCACACTGTAAACCTCATTCTAATTCCTCCTCAGCATCTCCGTAGGCTCCGTTCTCCTCTAGATCTGATGACTCAATGCACCCCCCTCATCTTCCTTCTGACCAACCCCAGCCTCCTCCAAGGCCCTTTTAGATGAGGGGAGGCTCCCCAGCCTCATGTCTCCCCTGGTGTTTATTCTTGACACCGTTCCCCTCCTTCACCCATGTCAGGCGCTCGCATCCCTCACCCATCTCGGATCCAGCAGTGGCTGTTTCCCGGGGTCTTGCCCAGCTTGCCAGGGGTGCTCTCAGTGACCCTCCCATGAGGTATATCTTTTTTTCCTAAATATTCAGAAATGCATTGGATCCGAAGCACCATTGGTATTAATAATAATACTGTATAATTATTAGCAAAAGCTAATTTTCTTTCCTAATCTCTAGAGCTGGCCCCTAATCCCAACCCTCCAAATGCTTGCCTGTCAATACCATCAGAAGAATCCAGGAACCACACTTGTCACGGCTGCTTTAAAGAATGGTTTCCCCTCTATAGTCACAGTCCTCGAATGAATGGAAACGGCACACTGGCGGATCTCCAGCGCTAATTAAAGCTCCCCTTTTGAACATCCAGTATGAGATTGCTTTGCATTTTCCTTTTGAACACATATACACAGAGCAAACAAAAATAGAGTACAACATGCTTCCAACTTGATTCCAACTTGCTTAGCATCTGACTTAGAATGCTGAATAATCAGTAAAGAAAACCAATTTAAACCTTCTGAAACCATTAGCCTTGTCACCTCCTTATCAAGATGCATGCTGGCAAATGAATAATCAAGCTCATTTTCTTTTCGTTTTCAACACCAACTTCATCTTTCATTTTGTGAGGTATATTTTAGACAGCTTGTAGTCATTTTTTATACAAAAAATAAACCTCCAAATGGTTTGAAAGAGGTGGATTTTTCCCTAACTGCCCTGAAGTAATTACTTAGCATCTTAAACAGTGTTTAAAATCAACAATACAGTAGCAAGATTTCACTGCTGTTTACTTTGATTGCTGAGCATCTTACACAGTGTGTCACCACATTTAATTCAAACCTCAAGGACATGACCATGTAAGTTCCCCTCCTGGCCTCCAGTGATGTAAAGCACCAATCCACACAGAATCTAGATCAACAGTGAAAAATGTCCTACCCATAATTCAATGGGGACATTATACATTTCTACACAGAAGAAGCAACACAACCAAAATAGATGCTTGTCTCTATCTGTCTTTAAACGTTGTCAGTTTTATGCCACAGTCTATGACACTGAATCAGTGTCACAGTAATTATATAGTAACTGATGATAGTATTTTGTCCAATTCTTCATTTTAATCTAGATTCTGCAACTAGGTATATTATTAACTCAAGTTGACAAGGGAGCCACCACTGGAAAACATGAGACTGGAAACCTGAACTCAGATTTCAGTGGTCATCTGGACCCAGCATAGTGACAGCTGTACAAGCCCACTGCTTCCATTTGTCATAATGGTTTTAATTCTGTGTCTGAATGCGTCCACCTCACTGATTTTATGCAAGTGACACCTATTCTCATAGTCATACTTTTCCACCCATGAAAGAGAGACAGCATTGACACACTTCGTGAGTATATCTGACAACAATGAATGTGTTTGTGTGTGAATGAATTAGACTTTCAAATGCCTCTGTTCACCAGAAATACCTTCACCATAAATCATCATCATGAGGATCATATTTCTTTTTAAAGGACCTATTCAATATTTGCTTTTATATACAATGCTCCAGTTACCTATTCCTGGGGGGTGGGAAGCAGAACTACAGTCATGCTCACACATAATCATCGCTCCCAGAAGTAATTCATTTCTTTTAAATATATTTATATATAATCTTTTCCTGAAATTTAATCTACTATTGAAACTACTCCTTCATATCACTTAGACAGGTCCAAAATAAATTTAACTATAAAGAATTTCCACTAGTTGGAACAAAGTTCCATACTTCCAAACAAAACAACAGCATTGTCCAGGAGACAGGCATGACGCCCACCCAAATACAGCACAAAACCATTAAAGGCGCATCCGAACAAACCAAGAACCTTTCAAAATCTACTCCAAACCAAACGAATTGCTCATGAACTTTTTAGAACAAGATAAACCACTTTACCATTTTTGTGATAATAGGTGACTTCCACTTTCCTCTCCTCAGACCCCAGCAATGCCTGGGCAATCTGGGCAATGTGGTGCTTTTTGGTCTCTGGTCCATGAAGAAAGTCACAGGTGCATGGTTTCTGCATGACATCTGGCCTGGAGAACCCTGTCATCTCACAGAACCCGTCGTTACAGTAGATGATCGCGCAGTTCTGCACTCGAGCATTAGCAATGATGAATTTTTTATCTGCAATTTAAAAAAAGTAATGCATTTTTCAACAACCTTACAACATCTCATAAAAATCTCACTGCTCTTCAGACAGAAGCTACTGCTGCATCTGATCTGCACCAGAATGATGTGTGCTTCAACAAGTACTCACTCCAGTAGGTTGGAGGTCTTTTTTTAATCCAATAAAAAGTAGAAATAAATCTCAAAATAATCTGCAATGCGAGTGGGGGGGGGCTTCAACCTAGGAACAGGAAGCAAAAACATTTGTAACTGCTGGATATATTCTTATTCTTATTATTTATCGTCGTCGTCGTCATCATGTATCAATATGACTGTAATTTTTTATGTTAGAAGTCTTCTACAGCTCAGGGACTGGCCAACACTGACCTGCCAGTAGTTTGGGTAGTGGAGATCAATCATTCTCAAGCTCTCCTCTTCACTCCCGCTGTTTGCCAGAGTTCATAGGCAGGACTCAAATAAAAGCCAGAAACTAGGGAGCTATACCAGCTGCACAAAGAGCAGGCAAAGCCACCACACAAACAAGATGAAAATGTTCACATAATATTAATCTAAGCCTTGCAAATAGTTTTATTAAAAGAACCAGTTCATTATAATATCTTTTTTTTTTTGCCAGTATATTAGTTTCTGCCATGAGATTAGTTACAGTGGTTGTCACTTTTGCTAATCATCTGGAGAACGCAGATGACCTTAAAGTAATAAAAAGAGCAAACACTGTATAAAAGTCTCCCTGCCTGGTGAGTAAGGTTCAGTGTTTTTGTTCAGCTCTCGAATACCCGGTCAAATTAATTGCCTACCCAGCCAGAATCATCTACTATACTGGTTCTTAACCTTGGGTTACTCAGGAGTTTTGGACAGCAACTCCCAGAAGCCTTCACCACCAGCTGTCCTGACTGGGGTTTCTGGGAGTTGCAATTCAAAAGCATCCGAGTAACAAAGGTTGGGAACCACTGATCTACTCTAATCCTCAGCACAGAATCACAGACTTGTAAAGCTGAAAGAGATCTCAGAGTTCAGTGAGGGAAACTCTTTGCTAAAGGACCTTCCCAAGTTCTCGGGCAGAACTCAGAAAAGTTTATTTTTGCTGTAGTTCAAGTTATTATTGCAGTTCCTAGAGCTATCATTCGTAGGACTGTTCTTCCCAGAATCCCCCATTCTCCGTGGTAAGTGGCTATGCCAGCTGGGGATTCGAAGTCCCACACACTTGTTTCCAAGCCATGGTAGGTGGCAGAAGCCACCACCTGGTGGCTGATCTTTTTTACCTCGAGATGCCTGGCTCTGCAGCTGGGACCTTCTGTGTATAAGAGAGCTGCTTTACTGTCTCACTGAGAGATTAGTCTCACTTATCACACGATGAGGCAATTTGTTAATTTGTAATTTTTGCTTGATTTGCTGTTTAAAGAGGAGGCCTGAACGAGAGAGATCAACTCCTCACATTTAAAACAAGAAGTCCCCTTCACTATCCAGACACCAGGGTGCTCTCTCCCATGATAACAGCAGCATGCCTTTAAGGCTTCCTACGCATTTGCATTGTAAAGTGATGCCACAAGGATCAGGGTCAGACCAAGACACTGCACTGCCTGAGGCAAAGAAACAAGAGTGTGCCCTGTCTCATTCCAGGTACAAAAGTGCAGGGGATAAGCACCTGAATCTTTCTGCAACACTGAGAATGAAACAGTACCCTCCACTGCTCCAGACCTCAGCAGGCCATCTTAGGACATGCAGGTGCAGTTGTGCAGCATACAGCTCAGCTCACCTGCTCTTTTCTCCTTCAGTGCCTTGCTACCACTTCCTAAAATTTGATGCTTACGGCAACAACCTCAGTTTGCCTAATGGCAGGGCTGGCTTTGACCAGGATGACTATGGGATTCTTTAACAATACTCACATTACAGAATTTCGTTGTGACATGGTACATATCTACATGCCAGTCCTCAGCTGCTGACCCTAAACCAAAAATCTTTATGGGACTGATATTCTTTTTCACCTCCACTGTACTGGACAGATGTAATCACACACAAGTACATATCATGGCAGAAAGTGAAGTCGGTGGCTTGGACTCCATTGTAGTCTCAGCTATTGTTACACAACACAAGAGTGCTTAAGCAGGACATTTCTCATCCAACTCAGTCAATAGTTCTCTTTCACTTTTCACTCTTGTTTTCAATGGCAAGTAAGGCTTTGAAGCCAAGTCTGTATTTACATAATGACCTATGGAATGATTCACAGGTACAAATTTAATAACCTGCTATAACTTCATGCTACAACTCCACTACATAAAATATTTGTCCCCATGAGTAGGAAAGGATCAATCTCTGTTTTTCACTTGCTCCTCCATTTGATTTGAAAAATGGGAAATCTCAAGTTCTTTCTTGGCAAAAGCTGCAAATTTATTAAGTTCATATCAAAAACAAAACCTATCACAGCCATTTGCACTGACTACATTCAACAGATGCCTCCCCCCCCACTCAATATGGAGAGGACAATGGTGTACTGACCTACCAGGCATTTGTGAAAGATGATGCATCTTTCAGAGTAACAAGGTGGCAACCTAATTCAACACCATAAAGTAGACATAGGGATTCAAAGTACAACTTAAGTGCTCAGCACTCAGTCTTGAGTCTGGATTTATGATAACGTCACTTTTTGTACATTCAGTTAATTTAAAAAAAAACCTCAATATTTTCAGCAGAATATATGCAGAATTTTGAAAATGTTGGAGACTTCATATGACATAATTTAACAAAGAAAATTCCCACACATGCCTACCCAAAGGGAGAGGAAAAAATGCCCAGTGTTCATCGTGGAAGGCAGGATGCAACATTTGCACAGTTGATACATTAAAAATAACTTCCTTTTTATTTTCTCTCAAATGTCCACCATTATTTGCAGTTTGTCACAAGGAAGAGTGCCTGATTATTTACAAATTATCTTTGTACTAGCAGGAGGATGGGGTAATTTAAGGGTCTTCTTATGCACTCCCTTACCTAGATAAATAAGTCTGCTGATGTTATTAGGCAACTTACATTCCAGAGGACTACAGAATTTTACCTCTACCTATCTTTCATGGGCTACAACTCTGTTATGTTGATGATAGAAATGGTAACTGCCAATGAAGGAAGGTCAGCAATAAATGCTTCTTACTACTAGGCTTTACCTTACCAAGATACTTGGGACTAAGCATTTAAGGAAAGGACTCCAACCTATCTTGCAACTTTATTATTTTCCACAGTATGACAGAACTAGACCAGGTCAGATGTTACCTTCTTTAAATTTTTGACCATTACCCAAAAGATTAAGACTGCAATCCTGCACACATTCATTTGACTCTAAGCCATACTGAACACCCTAATTGGCCTGATTCCACGTAAACCATGCTCGGTCAGGTGGCAAATTCAAACACATTTGACTAAGGAATAAATCTCCCACAATGCCCAAAGACATCCTCTGAGTAAACATGCTGAGAAAAACACTTAAGACAACACACATGACTCTCTTGTGTGGGACCGTCAGCTGTTGAATTTAGGAAAGGACCTTACAGGTCAGATGGAGAGCTGTGCTCGGTCTGTTGGAGCAAAAGCAACAGAATCTTATGGCAGCTTCAAGACGGCCAAGTGGCAACGGGCATGAGTTTGAGGGGACTGTAACTCCCGGCTTCAGAGGCATCCCATCAAGTCACTGCAAACAGCGTTTCAGATGCCACAAGTCCCTTCCTAGTTTATACAGATCGGACAGCAAGCCCACTCCATCCCAGGCAGGACCTCTCCTGGAAATGCCTTGGAGGAACTAACTGGCCCTGCTTGGCTGCGAGGGGTGTGCGTGTGCTGAATGGAGGGTAGGTCAAACTTTTCGTCAACTCCTGCTAAGCAAGAGGCATCTGGAAATTTAAGGTCAAGGTTTGAGGCCAAAGGAGGAAGGAGCCTCCTGCCAAGTCTGTCACCCTGGACCGTTTTCCAGGACACTGGAGTCTTCCAGGACCACCTTCCCCCCCCCAAAAAAAACCCCACCAACAACCCTATCATCCTCCTCTGATCCCCGCGGGGGAAAGCGATTGCATAAGCAGGCAATGGTGCGCGAGTCCGGCGGTGCCTCCTCGGAGCCGCTGCCCGGCAGGTGCGAAGAGCACGAGTTGGCAGGAGAAAGGGGCGAGCCGGAGGGATGAGCGGAGGGAAGCTCGGAGTCAAGCTCAGCACCGCAA